CTCCGGTATCTTTCTCTCTCCAAACTCCTCCCCCACTCTCCAAACTCCTCCCCCACTCTCCAAACTTCTTCTCAATTGGCTCCACACTCTCACAACCCTCCAAACTCCTTTTCGGCTCTCTCCACGCACTCAGCTCTCCAAACTCCTTCCCCCCTCTCTCTCTGCCCTCACCCAGGGGAAGGTTCTTAAATAGGCCTCCAGGCAGCCTCAATTGGTTTCACCTGGCCCTTAATTGATTTTGCAGCTGCCCTGTCTCTGCTGCCCCTAATTAGCCAGGATTGCTGACTCTCTCTGCCTCTTTCCCCTTCCATCAAGCTCTTTAATCTGCTGTATCACTCCTGCTCTGTCACACTGTTAGGACCAAAACACCTTCCTCTCTCCTTCCCCAGCCACTCTTCCTGCTGGGGCTTTAACCACCGGCACGTGTCAGTGGGTTAACCCAAGCTCTGCCTTCTCCAGACCAGGGAGCGTTTGGCCAGGGTATGTGCTCCTTTGCAAGGTGCCGGGCCGGACTAACGGGGTTTGGGGTCGGTTTGAAGCTCCAGGCACACGTGGGGGGAGCATCAGTGCTTGCGGGGGATCTGGAAAGTGTGTGTTGGGAGACAGGGAGGGAGCACTCTCCTTGCAGGAAAGAGGGTGGCACTCAAAGGCAGGGCCACTGAGGGGAGGGTGAGGGGGACAGGGAGAAGTTGCTCTAGGGCCCAGCAATTTAAGAAGGCCCGGGCCTCCAGGCTGCTCTGCTACTATTGTGGTGGCAGTGGTGGGAGCCCCAGGCCCTTTAAATCGCTGCAGGAGCCCTGCATGGCACACTGCGGGCAGCACTGAGGGAAGCTAGCCCCAAGCCCCACCCCTTCCATCCAAAGCCCCACCCCTTCTGTGGGGCCCAGGAGCCGAGCCCTGCACCTCCGCATGCACACACGCATTGTCCAGGGCCTGATGAAATCTGTGGCCAGGCCTGCTCAAAGGTAGCCCCTTGGAAGAGGGAAAAGAAATTGGCTTAGTGCTACGCGGCTCAGAGACCGTGCTAGGTTTTCGTCAGCACCAGCTCCAGGCTCCGCACCTCCCAACCACCTGTCCAGCAGGACAGACACGGCCTGCACTAGTAACACGCCATCCGGGACGGGCCCCGTGGGGTCTTTGCACAGGCCCGTCAGTGAGAGCCCCGCGTCCAGACCCAGGTGCACACACTCCCGCCCCCAGGGCACCCTCTCACCTCCCAGGAGCCAAGAGCCTGCACCCGTGTGTGTGTGTGTGTGTGTGTGTGTGTGTGTGTGTGTGCGCGTGTGTCCAGGAGAGGAATTAACTGGGGCATCACGCAGAGCCTCTACCTCGTTACACATCATCTACCTCCTCCTCTCATGCGCCCCGCCTCACTACTGTTGTGCTCTGAGGACAGGAGCCGCAGGCGCCACACCTGGACACGAGATGGTGCCTGATTTCAGCGACTGGCTCAGCTTGGCGTTTTCGATAGCTTCGAGATCCCCTGCCCTGCCAGCCCCCTCCCTCCCCCGAGGGTGCACGAATTTCAGGCCAAACGGGGCCATTGTGATCAGCAAGGCCAATGTCCTGGAATGTGCCGTGAGCAGGACACGAGACGTCGTTCTTCCGCTCTACGCTGCTGGCGTGCGCCCCACCCCCGCTCACTGGTCCCTGTGCGCTCCGGTGGAGGCAGCGCTTAGGCCTCCGTGGCAGCTCCACATCCCCAATCACCCGCAGGTCCCAGCCACGTTCCAGTTTCGGGAGGCGGGAGGATTAAAATGAGGTTTCCATTTCTCTTCTCCCTCCTGGAAATAGAGGGTGACTTCACGCGACAAGGCCTGTCTCTTTACATTAGAGCAAATCCACGCTGGGCACCCCCGGCCGTCGCAAGGCAGCTGCGCCGTGATCTCCCGAGGAAGGGCCAGTCTGGCGTTGCACACGCGTCCGTGTTTCGGTGTGCACTCGGCAGTGTCTGCAGAAGGCGGAGCTGGCACTGCCGTCTCCGTGTGCCCCTCCCCCCACCGGCACCCCGCCCCCGGACTGCCGAACGGGACAGATGTGCCGCCGAGGCGCAGCGCCAGGAGGAGAGAGGCTGCACAACGTCACACAGCGCTCCCTTGCCAGGTGCCTACAAAACCCGTAACCTGCAGCCCCCACGGCCTGGCAAACTGAGCCGCCCG